GCTGGCCGCGCACGTCGGGGGCCGGCACGGGGCCCTGTCCGCTCGCAGCGCTGGAGCCGCGGGGCCCGGCGGCCTCTCCGGGCCGCGTCCCGGCCCCGCCGTGCGGGGGCGTCCCCGGCGCGCTGCGGTTCTCACATAAATCAGGGCCGAGCCCCTGGGAAAGGGCCATTCTTCACCGGGCGCTGCTGACAGAGAACGAGAAACAGACGGGCCCTGAGATAAACCATGGCGCAGAGCGTTTACACAAGGGCAGGCTCTGTGTAAATAGAGCCGGGCGCGGGGGGCAGCTCCCGGCGGCGCGGGGCGACGCGGCCTCGTCCCGACACCGCGGCCGCCCCGTCGGCGAAGGGCCCGGCCGGGCGCGGCGGAGCTCGCCCCGGAGCGGCGGGACAGGTGGATGCGGGTCCCCTCGCAGCGGGCCGGGGCGCCAGCGCCGAGGCAGAACCGCCGCTCTGCGCGTTGTTCCCCCGCAGCCGCCGGGCGCGGAGACGACGGCGGATTAGCGTGTTTGTTTGTTTACGGCCATTAGCGCGGGGCCGGCTCCAGCACTCGGCACCCGCGAGACTAATGGAGCAATTAGCGGCCGCGCGGCTGATAGCATCGCCCCGAGCGAGGCCTCCCGGCGCGGCCGCGTGCTACCGGGGCCCGCGGGCCGGGGGGGCTGCGGGGCAGCCTCGCCAGGCAGCCGCGATGGGCGCGCTCGCTGTAGGGCAGCTCCCCCACCCGCAGCCGGGGGGGCTCTTGGCTCCACTGCAGCATCCGCAGAGCGAGCTCCATCCATTACAATAATCCCCTGTCTAAACAGAGCGCAGGAGCGGCCGGGACAACAAGGCCCCGCTGTAAACAGAGCTCAGGGGACGCCGCTAATGATATAAATAAAATAACCATTAATAGCTCGCTGACCCCGGCCCAGTCAGCTTGGGAAAGCCCCGGAGCCGCATCCCGGCGCTGACACCCGCTGACAGGTACCGAGCTAGGCCCGGCCTGGGTGCCGCGATTCGCCTCGCATTGCGGCCCCGCGTGCAGCTGGCCCGGTACCGGCAGCGCCCCGCTCTCGGGAAGCCGCTCGCTATGCCGGCGCTGCGGTGCGGCCGGGCCCGCTCGGCTTCGGCCGGTCCCGCTCCCCTCGGCACCCGCGGGCGGGAAGTCGCCGCTCCCACTCGGCCAAGAGGCCTCGGGACCGTCGGCGCCGCGGGGCTGGCCCGATGCCCCCGGCTCCCCAAGGGACCGGAGAGGGGCGAGACCGGTCGGCCGGGAAGGGGCTGATTCCAGCACTGCCCAGGAATACGGGCAGGGCATGAGGTGCCCTTGGGAAAGGCCCGCGACGCCCCTGGCTGCGGCCTGCTCTGTCCACCCGCGGCCCGTGGGCACCGTAGCGCTGGCTGCGGGCGCGGAGCGGAGCCTGCTCGAGGCGGGCACGTTGGCCACGGGGATGGGGCGCCGGCGGGACAAGTAGCGCCGCCGAGCCGAGCCGGGAGCCTGGTCCTCCCCGCTGCGCTGCACGGGCCTCCCGGCCGCACCTGGCGCTGGGCCCGGCCGGGCTGCAGCTGCAGGCGGCAACGAGCTGGCGCTGGGCGAGCCCGAGGGGAAAAGGAGTGCAGGCAGAGCCGGCCGGGCTGCGGAGCGAGCCCCGGCACGGCCCTGCGGCGCCCAGGGGCAATGGGGACACATGTGCCCCCCTAATCCCTGCTATCACCGGAGCAGCGCGGCGCTCGGCTCGGAAACACCCGGTGCCGCCGCCCCGCTCTGGAACAGGGAGCCCTGTCCCTGCTCACCCACGGCGGCGCTCCTGGGGAGTCGGGCCCCGTGCAAAAGTCTCAAAACCCGAAGCACCGCCGGGCCCCCGTCCTGCCTGTCCCGGCAGCCACACTCGGGCCGACCCGGGCAAGGCCGGCTGCGGAGCTTTGCAGCAGCCCGATCTGCGGACGGGTGCTACACCGATACGGCATTAGCCGTTATCTCGGCGGCGGGTAGCCGCGCGCACCGGCAAGTCGAAAACCGGACCGATTTCTCGGCCACTAGGGCCCACCGGCGGCACCAGTCGCGCTCTGGGCGGCACCAACCGGGAGGGGGAAAGCGACGATCAGGGAAAGACTCGCCGCGATTCAACGCGACGGGGTCTCGGTGGCGCGGCTGGGAGCGATCCAGCAGCCGGGTGCGGGGAGTGGCAGGCGGCCCCGCCGCCGAGAACGGGAACCGGCGCCGTACCGAGGGAGCCGGAGCAGCGGCGCAGGGCGCGGCACAGAGGCCCCGGGCTGCGGTCGGCCGGTAATTGGTTTTCTCCGGGGCGGGTGGAGCAGTGAGGTCCAGGAAAACGAGAAAACCAACGGAGGCGGTAAATGGCGGAGCCGCCGCCCGGTAAGGACCCGAGAAAGGCGCTGAGAAGGCCCCGGCGCGGCCGCGGCTCCGGGACACTCACCTGCCCGGCGTGCGCGCCCGGCTCCCCGTGGCCTCGCCTTGGCGCCGCTCCGAGCCCTGCGGGGCGGCAGCATTTTAATCACAACGAAATTTCGTTTTGGGAATCTCCTGCCCGGCCCTCGGCGCGACAGGCCTGTGTCTCGGCGACTCGGGGCCGCTCGGGGCGCCGGGGAGTGCGGGACGCCTCCGCGGGGCCGCGGAACCGTCCGCCCGCCGTACCGGTACGTTCGGCGGTGCGGAGACGCGGGGCCGCGACCAGGGGCTCAGGGAAGCTTGCGGGGCTCGCGGTCGATGCCGCGCTCGATCTGTGCCTTAGTAGCCGGACTGGCGGCGCAGGAGGCTCCGTGGAGCCGCTGCCCGCCTGTTACCGGGGGGAGAAACGAAAGGAAACGAAAGGAAACGAAAGAAAACGAAATGAGCCGCCGAACGGCGCCGAGTAGCGCTCCGGGGCCGGCCCCGCAGCGCCGCGGTCTCGGGCCGCTCACCGGCCCGGTTCGGTCTGTCCTGCGGGACGCTGCGCTGCGGGGCCGGATCGGAGCGCGGCGGCGCGGGCAGGGGAGCGGCCGCCTCTCAGCGGGCGCCTTCGCGCCGCTCTGGCGAGGTCCGAGCGGGCCGAGGGCCGCCCGGGAACAGGAGCAGCGGCGGGGGCAGCGGTGGTGTCGGGACAGGCTAGCGGCTCCGCCTAGTCTACCTCGCGAGGCTGCGAGGCGCCCGAGGAGCCCCGGGGCGCGGGGCGGCAGTTGCGGCCGGGGCAGTGGGAGTGCAGGGCACTAGCGGGGCTGGACGGCCGGGCCGGGCTGCACGTGCTCGGTCCTCTCAAGGCCGGGGCCAACGGGCCGCGCCCGGGGCGGGGGTCCCTACCTACCTACACGTGCTTAGCACTGCGAGGCGCGGTGGCCGCCGCGGCTCTCTCCGCGGTGCCCGACCTCGGCGCACGGTGCCCGCGGGCTCTGCGCGGCCCGGTGGGTGCCGGTTCGGGCCGGCGGGGCGCTCTGCGGGGAGGAGGCCGCCCCGAGCGCGCCCTTAATACATTGCTATTTCTGGCCGGGCGGCCGGAGCCGGGCAGGGGGCCGGCTCAGCCTCCCCCTCCCTCCAATGGCGAGGCCGCCCCCGGCCCCGGCCCCTCCTCGCCGTGACGTGCCGGCCCGGGGCAGAGGAGGCTCCTGAGCCCTTGGCTGTCCCTGCAGAAGCTGTAACAAAACGCAGACCCCCAGCGCCGGGCTAATGGAGGCAACTTAGACGGGAGCAGGCGCGGCCCCTCGTCTCTCCGCGCTGCCTGCTCCCCCCGCGCCCGCGCGGCGCTCCCCGCCGAGCCGTAGCCCGAGCGCCGCCGGGCCCGCGGCACCGCCTGGCCGCCCGCGCTGCCCCGATGATGTTACCGAGCCCCGTCACCTCCACCCCCTTCTCTGTCAAAGACATCCTCAACCTGGAGCAGCAGCAGGACCCGCACTATGCGGCCCAGCTCCCGCACCACCTGGACCACCACTTCCATCCTGCCGCCTGCCTGCTGGCGGCAGCGGACGGCGCCCGCTTCTCCGACGGCGAGGAGGAAGAGGAGGAGGAGAAGCTCTCCTACCTGAGCCCCATGGGAGCGGCCGGCGGGCAGCCCGACGCACGGATCTCTGCCGAGAACTACGTGCACGCTGCGCTGCGCGGCTCCTGCGAGGCGCCCGGCGCGGAAGAGGAGCTCGACCTCACGGCCCGCGACCCAAGTGAGTATCGGCCCCGCCGCGCTCCCCAGCCTGGCCCCGCCGCGCCGTCCCGGGCCCGCGGGCATAGCCGCCGTGACGGCAGAGGCACCCCGCGGAGTCCCTCTCTCGCCTCTGCTCTCTCGCTGCAGCCCCGTGCCCGCTGGCTGCGGTTCTCCGAGGCGGCCCTGGGCACCTCGCGCGGGGACCGGCCCGTCAGCGGGCGGCCGCTCTGCCCCGAGCTCCGCTTGCCGCGGTCCCGGGAAGCGCCGCCGCGGGGCCGTGATCCGGAGCCGCCGGATCAGGCCCCCGCTCCGCAGCTTCCCGGGTAGCGAGGAAGGAGCGGGGAGGCACGGGCCTGACCCGCGCCCGCTGCGGCGGGTCCCTCCGGGAGAGACGCGGCGGCGGAGCAGGTGCCCGGGGCTCGGCCTTGCGGTGCGGTGCGTAGCTCGGCAGGCGGCCCTTCCGCCCGAACCGGCACCTCGCGAACACCGGCGGGGCCAGCGCCGGCGGCTCCCGGCGGCGCCGCCGCCTCCGCGACGCAGTGCCCCGACGGGCGCGCACGGCGCGGGTCTCCCGCCTATCGGTCCGTCCCGGGGGCAGCAGTGAGGGGCAGCCGTGACCTGTGCTCCCCCGTGCAGAGAGCTGCGTCCTGAAGAAGCCGATGGAGGTGGCAGAGAAGCCGGAGGAGGCGGAGAGGCCGAAGCAGCGGAGCCGCAGGAAGCCGCGCGTCCTCTTCTCGCAGGCGCAGGTCTTCGAGCTGGAGCGGCGCTTCAAGCAGCAGCGTTACCTGTCGGCGCCCGAGCGGGAGCACCTGGCCAGCAGCCTCAAGCTCACCTCGACGCAGGTGAAGATCTGGTTCCAGAACCGGCGCTACAAGTGCAAGCGGCAGCGGCAGGACAAGTCGCTGGAGCTGGGCGGCCCCGCGGCGCCGCCGCCGCCGCGCCGGGTGGCCGTGCCCGTGCTCGTCCGCGACGGCAAGCCGTGCCTCGGCGGCTCGCAGGGCTACGGCTCCGCGTACAACGGGCCCTACTCCTACAACGGCTTCCCCGCCTACGGCTACGGCAACGCCGCTTCCTACAACGCCGGCTACGGCTGCACCTACCCGGCGGGCACCGGCGGCGCCTCCGTGCAGGCCGCCTGCAGCCCGGCCGCGGCCGCCGGCCCCTTCGTGAACGTGGGCGGCCTGGGGGGCTTCGGCGGCGGGGGGCAGCCGCTGCACCAGGCGGCGGCGGGGCCCTCGTGCAGCCAGGGCGCACTGCAGGGCATCCGGGCCTGGTAGCCCGCACGCACTGAGGGCCGGGAGCGGACAGGCGGGCCCGGCCGCCGAGCCCCGTGACATCGCGCACTAGAGCCCGCGCCCCGAACTGGAGGCGGCGGCGGGGGCGGCTCGGCGGGAGCCCGCGGCGGGTGGAGCGGCGCGGGGCAGCGCGGAGCGGCAGGACGGGGCAGCCCGAGCTCGCAGCGAAGCGTTGCCGCCGCGCGGAGCCCCCCGAGGTGACGCCGCGACGGGCGTGCGGCCCGGGCCGGAGCTGCCAGCGCCTCGCCAGCGGCGCAGCTTTGCTTGTAAAAATTCCCAAAAATTAGAAAAAGAAAAAAAAAAAAAAAAAAGCCGATGGCGGGGCCGGGGTCCCCGCGGCCCCTCTATCTACTCTGTATCGGTCACTGCCAGCTCGCAGAGTCAGTCAATAAACCAGGTGCAATATCCTCCGCCCGCTCCTACTTCGCCCGCGCCGGGGCGGCCCGATGGGCGGCGGCCGGGCCCGGTGGCGGCGGTCAGGGCCGGTGCCCGGGGCCGGTGGCGGCGGCGGGCGGCCCGCAGCGCCGTGTGCCCGCGGGCAGGGCGGCCCGCGCGGATTGTGCTGGTGCCAGGACGCTGAATGGGGCCGCGCCGCGCGGAGCGGCCCATTGTGGCCGCCGGGCCGGCGCTGAAAGGAGCCGCCGCGGAAGGTAGCGGGAATAGGCGCTTATTGGATTCGGGAACAAAAGGTGTGGCAGGGAGGCGAGGGACAAAGGGGCCCCGGCGCCGAGATTGACGGGCTGCTTTGCCCCCCACTGAGGCCCAGGCCCGGCGCTTTATGCGCGGGGGCTGCAGAAACGTGCTGGGTTTTGTTCCCCTTTCTGTGAGCGCAGGGGGAGAGAGGGGGGTCCGCGGGCCGCTGATTAGGGCCGGCCGGGCCGGGCAGCCTGAATGCCGGGGCATTATTGCTACATGTTCAGCCATTCCGCTCGCTGCAGGGGGAGGGGGCGGCCGAGGCCCCCGCGCCGGGCGCCCCCGGCCGCC